TGCACATCCTTGTGACGGTTGGCATATGGTGTAATTTTCTACTTCTTCAGACTGTAAAATCCTTGCAACAAACTAAATTATAATAAAACAAAAATGCGATCTTTGAACCAAACCTGTTCATCTTATATTTGGAGAATTTATGTTTGAATATTTTGCAAAAATATGTTGCGGTGCATGATGGGGTTTTGCATCTAAAGGCTGACGTTTCCCGTCTTATGTGCATTGTTGCCAGGTTGGGTTGTTTCCCAATCTGGCAGTTTAGGATGGCCGTCTATGGGTAAAAAAGAGATCAATCAAACTTTTGTTCAAATTGGGAGCGAGATTTCGTATATCCAGGCGGTTTATGAAAATTTTTTGGGCTGGAAAACGTGAGTCAGTGACTTTCTATAACAAGAAAAAGCGTTTATCGATGTTTATTTGAGGTTTTTATTATATTTAACATCATTACTGATTAATCTAAGTCATTACTAAGAACAGGATAAACCTTAGCCAGTTATAGCAGACAGTGTTGCTATAAGAAGAACTGTTTGTATAGCACTAATTAGCTAATGTACTGAGCACTGAGCAGAGGTGTGCTGGCAGCGTTTTCATGACTGTTGGTCCCACTCGGTTTGAAGTACCTGCCAAGGTAATTGATCAGAACCAGTTTGGATGCATTAATGCTTTCCACTGACTCAAATCCAGCACCACAGTTCAGTGATTGAAAATAGCATATTTTCCTTAGGGGTTTCTCATGTTACTTTGTCTTTGTGGAAACATTTACGCTCCTCCTCAAACCCTAAAGTAAGCAAGTGGAAGTTTACATCTGTCCATTGATCTTCTTCTTATCTTGTTGCTGAGAAATGACTGATCTGTTACTGAAAAACCTGTTAGATTCAGGCAAGCAGGGTCAGAACTTCCAGCTCTATTATTGTTTGACAAGTTAAATAAATCTTGTTCTGTTTTCTTTTTCTTTCACAGCAACCTGGCGTCCAACTCCCTGGAACATATCAGCTGGAGAGTGTTTCATTTTCTCCCTCTGCTCAACCTGTGAGTCAGTTTCCAATTCTGCAAAATACTTTATTTTAATTGTGAATAAAAACATAGCTGGAAGTTAAGATAAAATTCTTTCAATATTCCTTATTTCATCTCTTTTTACGTTTCCCAGATATACCTGTGATTTTAAACTGATTATTCATTTTTGAGGCTTTTAAATTTTTCTCCATTCTAACGACTTTAATGAACAATTTCTTACATTTCTTTTTGTTGTTGTTTCTTAATACTTAAATCTTTTAATCTATAATGATAAAAGGCATTATCCCAGCAGTAGGTGGTGAAGTTCAGGGCTAAAAGATGCTACACTGGAAAAACAACCTAGAATCAAGTTAAAATTTCTTAAATTAACTGTATTTGTCCTCAAATTGAGTAAGTAAATGAGATAGTTTGCCAATGGAATGAGCATTTTTACTCTTAAAAACAGATAATTAGATAATATGCACTTGAAATAAAACGATGCAATTGTTTTTTCTTATTTGAAGTGTAAATTGTCTTGTTCCATTGGCAAGATGTCACCTTTACTTCCTTAATTCAAGAACAAATGCACTTATTTTAAGAAAAAAATGAATTATCTAGATTTCGATTTTTTCCAGTGTAACTGTGTGTCTGCAAAGAGCAGGAATCCAACCCCGACCACCCAAAGCTCAACTTCCTACTCTGCCAACTTCAACTTCAGATTCTGTCCATGAACCCCACAAAAGAATCAATCAATGGGCTCTGATAAAATACAGCTCCAACCTACCAGCCTCATTCCATTCATTATGGATTTTGTTTTGATCATAAAGATGAGGGATAACCAGTAAAACATTCCTGGTGTCAAAAAAAAAATCTTATTTTTAATAAAAAGTACAAAAATACAGGTTCTAGGTTGTACATAACTACAATAGCAAAAGCACATGTTTTTCCTTAAATAATGTGAAATAACTTTTAGAAAGTATTCTTTACAAAAACATTTCAATGCACAGGGAATAGGGTGATTTTTCTCTTTTGCTCTCTGTGTTGGGACACTGCAAAAACGATCTAGAAAAAGGTCAAAATGTCTTAAATTAAGTTTATTTACCCTTAATTTGAGTAGGTAAATGGGATGACTTGCCAATGGAATGAGGATTTATACTCTTAAGATAAGGTAATTAGATAATATGTACTTAAAATAAGATGCAATTGTTTTTTTTTTCTTATTTTAAATGTAAATAGTCTTGTTCCATTGGCAAAGTGTCTCACTTGCATCTGCAATTCAAGAAAAAATGCACTTATTTTAAGAAAAAATTACTCATCTAGATTTCGATTTTTTTTTCAGTGTAGAGAGAACATAAAACAATACGGATTCTGTCTACTTTTATTTTAAATAGAAATTTTAGACAGGATAATATAAACTGAACTAAATGGTAATCCACAATTAGCAGCTGAATACTTTGAGGGCGCCGTAATTCACTGTTTTTTCATCTTTTTAAAACAAAAACAAGGCTCTGTTGGGCTACTCTATAAATCCTTAAACTCAACGCTTTTTCTTACATTTTGAATTGAAAAAGCTTCCTGGATGGGAAGAGAAATGTCTTCAAACTTGGAAACAAAATCCAGTGGATTGATTTTTTACTTTTTTGGACAGCATTAAGGTTGCCACCAGCATTTGGAGAGCAATGTTCAAACCAAACCAGCCCAAAGTGAATAAGAAATGTGATTCCGCTGTCATGCTAGCATTCAGATCAGCGACACACAAGGCTAATGTTCTCTACAAATAAAACAGATCATAAGAGGTGGAAAAAGCAGAGATGGGAAGTAAAGAAGTACAAATACTTCGTTACTGTACTCAAGTAGATTTTTCTGATATTTTTACTTTACTTTACTACTTATTTTTATGGC